CTAGAATTCAATTAGACTAATATTACACTTAGTCTTACTCTATGGGTTAAACCTATAAATTTTAAAATTATTCAACTTTGCCTATGTAAATGCCTATCTTTCATTTATTTTTTTATAAGCTGTCTTAGTGCTATTTGTTCATTTTTGTTCTTAATTGCTGAAATACCCTAGAATAGGCCTTATTTTCATTTGCAATTTAGATTGGGACTTAAATTCTCTATAAACAATTTGTGGTCTTTGGGAGAAGGAAATCTAATAATTAGCATGAGTCCATCTCTTGCAATAAGCTTCTCTCTTGTTGTCTTTGTAGGGTTTTGAGCTTGAACATAAGGTTCAAGATGTAACAAATATCATTACTTAAGCAGGTAAATGAGATTTTCATGTACATTTTGAAGGGTTTATAATACACTTAATCAAATTAAGAATTATAAACAAATTATTAGTCCCCATGATACAAATATGTTCATGTAAAAATTAGGAAAACTTACAGAGATTTCACACGCGCAAAATCCTTCAAAAGTTCACACGTGATGCCTCAATTCTGTCCCCTAAAGAAGTGATGGCTTCTCCTCCCACTAGCTTCTGTTTTTCTTGTAAAAGCTTAGATACCATATTGACAAATCAATAGGTCTTATATATAGGGAGCTTGTATAGTTAGACTAGAATTACAAATAGCATGTTGCGTGGGACTCCTTTTTGGGATCTTAATCTCTTAGCAAATTGAATTTAAATCAATTTAGGATTGTAATCAAAAACCCATTAGTAGATAACAATCTTATCCAAGAAATTACAGATAAAATTGTGAGATCCCTCAAACCACAATATTTACATAACAGTCCTCCACCAACTAAAATTCCTTACAAAGTCTAATCAAATTAGAATTCTTTATAAAATTGTCATCTAACCTTTGTATGTGTGTCTCTTAAATATATTTAAACAAAAAAACAATTTAGAAAATAAATTTTTGATAAAATTTAATTTTCTAAAACTAAGTTAAAAATATTTATTTAAATTGACTGGCTGAATTTTTATCTAATATAAAAGAGACATAAACTAGAATATTCTCTTTTACGATAATAGTGATGGTTCCTTATTATATGACTATAAATCTTCATGTACTTATTATATAGTCCAATATGTCCGTATATATCCCATTTATTGGGCATCACTGGTTGACCATATCAAAACTAAATAACTTATACATAAGATTAAATAACATCTTTAGGTCTAAGAACCTTTTATAAATTGTGAATAGAATAATCTTTTATTTGACAGTAAATAACTTAAGATTATTCTATATGGTCCAGTTCAATATTTGTCTTATACAAATACTCACTACGTTACTAAGAGTCTAACTCTAGTGGTTGAAATTTACCACTCTATCACTTATGGTAGTACAACATGTGGCAACCAAGTTAAGCATATTATCCAAAGTATGCTTATGGTTGTGAACAATTTTAAGATCATCAAACCTTTTATTTGATCATCCCCATAACCAATTTAATTAATGTATGATCTAAGGATAATAACATTTATTAAATCACCCAAAAGAAATATGCAAGTAAATAAATAAATACTAATGATGGCTTTGTTGGGCATACAATTCTTTCAATCTCCCACTTGCACTCAAAGCCATTTGGATACATACTTCAAATCCATTTTACTCAAATGTTTCTCCAATACCTTTTGAGTCAATGGTTTAGTCAATGGGTTTGCAACGTTATCTTTAGAGGCAATTTTTGTCAAATCAATATCTCCTCTTTTGACAATTTCTCACAATGTGAAACTTTCTTTCAATGTGCTTTGTCTTTTGGTGAGCTCTAGGTTCTCTAGCCTATGCAACAGCTCCAGTGTTGTCACAAAATAAAGTTATTGGAGATTTTATGGTAGGAATAACTCCAAGCTCTTGTACAAACTTTTTGATCCAAGCTGCCTCTTTTGCTGCTTTCGAAGCTACATTATATTCTGCTTTTGTTGTAGAATCTGCTATTGCATCTTGTTTACAACTTTTCCAACTAAAAGCACCATTATTTAAAGCAAAGCTATATCCTAATGTAGACTTTCTATCATCAGGATCTGATTGAAAATCAGAATCTGTATATCCTTCAACATTTAAAGGACGTTCACCATATACTAAATAATAATGTTTAGTCCTGTTAAGATATTTAAAAATATGCTTAACTGTTGTCCAATGCTCTTCTCCAGGATTAGATTGATATCTGCTCACCACACTTACTGCTTGAGCAATATCTAGCCTAGTACATAACATTGCATACATCAAACTACCTACAGCAGAAGCATATGGGCAATTTTTCATTCTTTCTAACTCAATATCACTTTTTGGTGACATTTTCTTAAACAACATCTTCAGGTCTAAGAGCCTTTTATGAATTGTGGATAGAATAATCTTTTATTTGACAGTAAATAACTTAAGATTATTCTATATGATCCAGTTCAATATTTGTCTTATACAAATACTAACTATGTTACTAAGAGTCTAACTTTAGTGGTTGAAATTTACCACTCTATCACTTATGGTAGTACAACATGTGACAACCAAGTTAAGCATATTATCCAAAGTATGCTTATGGTTGTGAACAATTTTAAGATCATCAAACCTTTTATTTGATCATCCCCATAATCAATTTAATTAATGTATGATCTAAGGATAATAACATTTATTAAA